ACTACACTAACAACGTAATAACGTAAATTAAATTATTAATATTTAAGTTACGTTAACTTAACGTCGTACTACTTAGTACGTTCCTTACGTTCTACGGCTAGCCTTATGAGCCCTGGTATTGGATAGAGGGCTTTGTGAGCAGTGGATATGGCAGATGTAGTATGGTTGATCTATATTCTTTATTTTCACTCATGGTTTCTTAGGATTTATACATGAAAGTTTAGGTTCAATTTATTCAAATAAAGCATACAGTTTTTTTTTGTCTTTTTTTTTAAATTAGTTGCCTTACATTATTTCTTAATAGATTTTGAAATATTTTCATGCTTTGTGTATAGGCAGAATATGTTTCAGTTAACATAAAATTTTTTGTATTTGCCATCAGAACTTGAGTTATTTGACACCAGAAGAGTAGTAATACCATGATTTTTGAAAAATAGAATATCAGTTATTTTGAAACTAATGAATATTAAAACTGTAAGATGTTATGATGGTAAATACTAAGTTGATGAAGTGTTTTGTGAAACGTGTAAAGTGCATAATTTGTTTCTCTTGTGTTCTTTTGAAAAGTTATCTTGGGACGATTAAGAAATGTTATCGATGTATGCTTTTCAAGAAACAATTTTTTTCTTTTTCAAAATAAATGGGAAGTTCTATAAAACCAGTTCTTAGTAAATAAGACTTGTAATTTTCACCTTTTGTGCTTGATAGGTCGAAGTATTATAGCAAAAAAAGGAGATGGTTCACAAGTGAAAAATTCAACTGACAGCAGCACAACGTTAGAAGATGATGATGTTAAAGGTAAGTGAAAGAATGAAAGATTCCTCCACTGGGCATAGTTGTCAAAATATTTGATGTGACATGCATAGCAAGATTTAGTTAAAAATATATTGTGATAAAACACTTCATGGCATGGGATAAAACTCTCAAGCAGCAAATTATATTGTTTGGCAAAATTAAGTAAATTTTAAGATCTAGTTTATTATCACATATTTTGTTCCATTTCAAATAATTAAATCCTTCTTTCTAGCATTCTATCAAATATTGAACAGCTCTTTCAAATAAGTATAACCTTCATTTTAGCATTTTGTTAGGTATTTTATATTTCCAACAACATTTTTAAATAAGTAATTCTACATTTTAGCATTCTTTCACCACTACAACAATCCTTTTAAATCTGTCTTACATTCTAGCATTTTTTGACAAATGGTTTCCACACTCTTCAATAATTCTTTTAGTTAAGTAAACTATATTCTAGCATTCTGTCAGGTGTGCTTCATTCTTTCCAACAGCCCTATTAAATAAGTTAGGTTGTTAGGTGTGTTTCATTTTTTCCAACAAACATCTTAAATAAGTAAATTGTAAGTAAACTATTTCTTGTGAACACATGCTTACTAATAATTCTTAGTGTATGTCACCAATTCTTATTTTTAAGTTTTATTTTGTCATTCAAAATAAAAAATACTGGTTTTTAACCTTATTACATTTCCAAAATAATATCTAGAAGCTTGAAGATTTCGGACAATATCAGCTCTTCTTTTCTTTAATTAAAAACAAAACAAAATTTAAAGCAAGAAGTTAGCCTTGATCCTATTGCCGCTCCATCTATTTGATTGTACAAAGAGGTGAGTGCTGCTTAATGGTTAGTATATTCAAATTGTGTATCTAAGAATTCATGGTTTGCTCTTCTTTTCTGCAAAAACATGCTTTGAACTTTGGAGCTGTGGGTGCAATCACTATTTGATCAGAGTAGAATAGCCTAAAAGCTGGTAGTGTACTGTTGATTAGTCTGTTGTGCATTTATTCCCTTTTGTTTTACATGAAAATTGTAAAACTAATTTAATACATAAAGCATCATTTAAAATTAATTTTTATTTCTTTAATGAAACATAATTTTAAAAATCCAGTAATTGAAAACTACTAACAGGTTTACATACTAATGTAAGTAACTCTAATGACATGGGTCAAAGGCCATGTCATCGTGTTTGTTGACTTACATTCAAAATTTTATTGAATGATTATTTTATTAATTTATTTCTATAAATTTGGTCTCAAATTTTGTATTATAATTCAGATTTTAGTATTATACATAAGTTAATTTCTTAACTAAAAACACACCTAAATATTGATTTTTATTTGTCACATGGTACGTTGAATGCAGCACTGGTTCAAATTAAATGTTTGTGATGTCCAAATAAGTCTATAGTTTCATACGAATTAGGAACTCAAATTACTGATATTAACAAGCTAGAATATAAAATAAAAACATCCTATATTTTCTATTTGCTGAGCTATCGCTATGTTTCCTGAACCAAACACAGTGGCCATGCTCACCTTGTTTTATTTTTGAAAACACTTCCTTATTCACACCTACTTCTGTCTATGACATGTGAATAACCAATTGAAAGCTCAGAATGTCCCCCTACTGGCTTTCTCAGCCATTTTGAACTATTAAGGTGTCAATCTCATTATTTTGATACAATTTCAAGCTAGTAAGGTAAGTCTTTAGTGAGCTCAAAATTTCATATTAGACCCAAACACAGCTTAGTTACTAAACTTGATATAGTAACTATCCAGTACATAACCACCAAAATAACCATGATAGTAGTCATATTATAGATTTTGATAATGTATGTATATCTTCACAAACTTTTGCTGATTATCAGTAAATGTTACAAGGCTTTCATATACAAAATATCAGGTTTTTAATTAAGTATTAAAATTTTTTTATTAAAGATTTGCTTGTGAATTTTTTCTTTCAGAAAATTGACTATCCAACATAGAAAGTAATTCTGATTTTAAGATTAAAAATACTTTTCTTCATTTGAAAATTGCCAAATTTTATTTGCATAATCTCTATAACCTAAATAATTATCAAACCTAATTTTTTCAGAAAACTTTGTATTTTGTGTTATTTTCTCTACCTTAACTTGATATGGAGTTGATCAGTTTAAATGACCTCATAACCACTTTGGGAAATAAATCTAAATTTTGTTCTATAATCACTGGAAATTGTAACAGGAAATCAAAAATGTTATATTCTAAATAGAAGACAATGAATCTCTACTACTTACAATGTTACAAACTCTTTTGTACTCGCATGTTATGTTGCTAGGTGTCATCAAATTTCACACATGGAGGATGTAACAAAATATCATTTTTGTAGGTTTTATATTTGCATTTTGAAATATAAAATTATAAATTACTATACCAATACCACAAAATACCACTAGTTTAACAGGCTTCCTAACTAAGCTGTATTTGGGTCTACAAAATCTCATTTCCAATCAGCATATCACATTAATCACCATGCTTCAAACTCTGCAATGGTAATAACAGCTTTACCCATGTAAGTACTTTAAGAAGACTGACAGAATTGTGTAATTCAAAATGAGTGCATTTGATTGGTGGATTCACTAAATATATCGGCAAAAAGAAAAGGTTGGAGGTTCTTATTTTATATTTTAGCTTATCAATATTAGTAATTTGAGTTTCTAATTTGTTAAATACTGTAGGCTTAACATTTTATGACACTTACAATACAATCTAAGCAAATATAAAAGACAATTTACTGTGTGACACACAAAAAATTGATATTTAGCAACTTTTTTCTAATTTACTTTTGAACTAAGAAATGAAATAATGTATAATACTTAATTTTGATTTACAAACTACAATTTTATTCCAAATTTATGGACATACATTAATAAAATAGTAGTTTAACTGTTTCAGCATGGGCTTGGTCCCTGGGACTGACCTTGTAACCATTTTGTACTTGTCATAGTTTCATGCTTTAAATTTTAAAGTGTATGTTAATGAAATTTGGCAGATTATCAGTAAACACTACAATGCTTTTGTTTGCAAAATATCAAATTTTATATTAAGTTTTAAGATTTGTAAAGCAATGTTTCTCTCGTGCCTTTTTCTTTTTGATTGTTGCCTATCAAACATGCAAAGTAATTTTCATTATAAGATTAAAAATACTTTTATGCATCAGAAAATTTTCAGATTTCACATGTGAAATCTTTATAATGTCCAGATAGTTAAAAAATTTTTCTTAAGAAAAAACCTTATTTTAATTCTTATTTTCAGTAAGGCATTTCTGTATGTGTTTGGTAGATTTGGCCAATCTCGTAACCACCATAATAAATTAGAAAATAAATATAAATTATGCCTCTTTCATTCTAGAATGACAATAAATTATAACACAAAAACAAATCTCTTAAATCTTATAAAGTTATACATTTATATATATTTATTTTTTTTATTATATTGACCTTTCAACCATGCATGGCTAACAGTACAGAAGTTACAATGACATGGCACACGTGCTCTCATGTTACCATATCCAATAATATATAACTGACCTTTAGTCTTTACAAAATTACCTGTCTTGGCTGTGTTTTAGTAGACTAGTATTTTGTAAAATACAGTCACATTTCAATTATTATACATTATTTATGTATATAGATTATTGGTATTTCGAAATAAGTTCTTAAACTTATTTTTCTTAAAACATAGAACAGTAAGTGAAGAAGTAAAGCAAACAATTATCTCTTCTAGTTATGACTTTTGTACTCTGTTGCTGCTTGACATAGGTCGCCAAGCCTTTTAAAATTTCGCACATGGAGGATATGAAACAAAATAATTTTTTTGAGGTTTTTATATATACAGTTGAATAACCAAAAAATCATAAATTACTATATCAATACCATGGAATTCCACTATGATTTAGGTCTAAAAAAATATGAAATTTTGAGTAGACTAAAGATACAACCTACCTCTTAATAATTTAAAATGGCTGAGAAAGCCACTAAGGGGACATTCTTAGCTTTCAATTGGTTATTCACGTCATGTATAGAAGTAAGTATATATAAGGGAGCATTTCCAAAAATGGAAAGAGGTAGGTGGGGTACCACTGTGTTTGATTCAGTACACTAGCGATATCTTAGCAAATAGAAAATATAAGAGGTTCTCATTTTATATTCTAGCTTGTTCATATTGGTAATTTGAATTCCTAATTTGTATGGATTGAATAATGTATAATACTAAAAATTGAATAATAATCTACAGTTTGATACCTAACTTATTGACATAAATTCATGGAATAGTCATTCAATAAAATTTTGAATGCTAGTGAACAAACACAATGACATGGCCTTTGACTCATGACCCGTCTGGAAAGGATTAATAAAATTTTGAATGTATGTCTACAAAACGTGATGATGGGCTCTGACCCCGACCCATATGGAAAAGGTTAATCTAGCATTGTTGAAAGAGAAGGAAGGATTATAAAGAAAAGCAATTCAGGCATGTTCTTCTCGGGAAGTAATTTTTTAAGATATAATATTTTTAAATATGGATTTTATTTTCATCATAGTAACTCAGTACATATTGGTGTAAGATAATGTGACTACTTAAGAATAATTGATATACATATTGTAAGAGAATAAACAAATCTACAAATTGATGTATATATTAGTTTAAGTTGATAAAGAAAACAATTTATTGATGTACATAATAATGTATGTTAATCAACAGAATTACATATTAATATACTTACTTGTGCAAGAGAAATCAAACTTTGTATTCATGTACAGGGATTAGACAAAAATAGAAATATCTTACTATAACACCCATAATTTAAGGGAATGGTACATCATAATTATACCCGTTTGTGTTTCTGGTGAGGTAAAGGTGTAATTGTTCTGTTACTAATCATTCCCAATTAAAATGGGTAAAACCTTTCACACTTCCAAAGAAGTCTGATAGTTAGAACTGATCTGGCCAGTACCATTTTCATTGATGACTTCAAGTTTTGCCAAATTTTCCAAGTAGAAGAAAATTATCAAGATTTCCAAGAATTATGCACTAGATTTTATTTAGAAAAATCAAAATAGAAGGCATTGGTAACAAAAATTATTGCAGGAGCAAACATGATGGAGCAGTAAATTTTATTAGTGAGAACAGTTCATCAGAACTTCACAAAATGGGATCTCAGTGTCAGACAGCAATGCAAAAACCACTTATTGCACTCACCATTGCATGTTGCCTCATTCTGTGGTCACTGCTGTAACCCAATAAAGAAATATGGTACGATCAGATGAATCATTTACTTTATATCCATCTAATATACATATATATATTCATAGCAGTAACCAAGGGTGCATACTACATTGTTTGATTCTTACTGTCAAAAGAGCTGGTGGTGCCATCATGATTTGGACAGCATTTTTTGGTGTTGACTTGGTTTTGTAATTTTCCTAAAGAGCAACCTTCAAGTAAATATCTGACTAAAGATTGTTGTAGTTCAGGCATCTACCTATGAGCCACCAGGCTGTAATGAAAAAATTTGGGTAAACCAAGAAACATTATTTTGTATTATCTGTGTGTCTGTCTTATTAGTAAAAGAAAAAGTACATCACAATATATATATATATATATATATATATATATTATTTTAGCATTTTACATCCAGCTTGTAATTTAATTAGCCTTTTTTTAAAAAAAATCCTTATGAAGACACTTCTTTCCTGAAACTAGATTGTAAGTAAAGAGAATGTGTGGAAGCAGGCTAGTCCTGGGTGTATTATTTACACATTGTGTTTGTACATGGTATGCTGTGAATGCATACAGAATAACATATGTTACACATAAACAGCTTAATTTTTCAAAACTCAAAAAAAATTTCAAAAGGTACTTCTGTACAGTTGTACTTGTTCCTTTTAATTGTAGTGTATCACATGGCTTACTTACATCTGTAGGCTTCCTTTGTTCTGAAGATCTTTGTATTGTTATTGTAACAATGGCTCTGTTTGTCATAGTAGTAACTTCAGACTGTGTGATATATGATTTTGGAAATTATAAGTTTCTGTTTATCTAAGCAGAATACAAATATTTTATCAACTTGGAAGTGTTTTAGAGCAAAAACTTAATTCTTTAGTTGTTTAACATGTTAAAAGGTCATCACATGAAAAAGTTAATTGTTTAATTAATATAAGATGTACTGATGTCCTTTCCTAAAGATTTCTAAAATTCAAATAAAATTATGTCATTTTATTTTCAAAATAAAACCTAATTACAAGAAAAAATTGTTTTTAAATACATCAGTTGAATTAAAATAATTTATTAAAAACAGTGTACACTGAATATTGCATGAAATCAAAAATATTACTAACTTTGAAAAAAGGAAAGTCTGGGTGGAGTGTGAAGAGATACTACATATTTTTTATTTTTGTTTGCCAGATTTTGGAACTTGTGTGTATATATGTTCATAGAAGTTTTGAAAGAGGAGCTCCTCTTATCATTTGAAACAGGATTTTATTTTGTTTTACATATTGTTTTAGATGTACATACTAATAGAAGATTGGATCTGAATAAACAAGCTACTTATTGAAAAGCTTTTTGGGTTTAGAAATGTATTTTATCGATTTAATTTAGTTTTTTTTGGCTTATTGCATGATCTATATTGTATGTCTGAATTTTCATCTGTTAATATGAGAAAGTAAATATGAATGAATTCATATTAAGAAAGCTTTTCGTTGTGTTTCAAAAAAACAACTGATTCTTCTTTCTGCATGAAAATCATTAGTTTTTATTTAATTTGGAAATATGGTCTTATTAGATTATCTTTCAAGAACTATCTTATGTTTAACTATCTAATCTTTTTCATAGCTTTGGGCTTTGGTCTGTCTTTGCTTCAAGATTTTCTGCCTTTTTTTTCCTTCTCCTATTCTTAGATGGTCCCTCAGGGCCTCAAAGAAGTAAAACTGTTATACAAGTTGATTCAGGTATGTACCAATCTGGCATAAACTGTTTCTTTCCTCAACCCTTTAATTTCTGCTTCTCTAAACAATATGCAAGTTTATAATTAACATGTAATAGACAGAACTTTGTAATATGTGGAATATAAGTAATTTCCTAGACTTGGCAGAAAACAAAAATTGTACAACATTTTATAACTGTGTGATTAACATCTGATAGAAAAGGCTTTGTAACTTACGAAATACAAGTTATTTGCTAGACTGTGCTAGCTGGACACAAGAAAAATCCTACACATTGTATATTTTGTGTGTGTGTGTGTTCAAATAAATGCAATCCTTGTCTGTAAAGATAATCCTTTTTTTTATTTTCATAAACATTTTATTAAAAAGATTAGCTTTCTACTTAAGTGTTTCAAGTTTGATTCTTTTTCTACATTATTATAATTTTTTTTATATTGTCTAAAGTTTATCTTGTTTTTGTTTCCTACTTTATTTCTGTTGCTTTGTTTTATTTTAACTTAGTAGTATGCTTCAAATATAATAAAGAATGAAGATTAATTTTGTTTCTTGAGATTTCCTGGCTTTCTTTTTCTAAAGATTTTGGTCTTGTGCCTTTTGTTTTTACCCTGTTTCTCTTCTCAAAGTTAAAACTTCAACTCCTGACAGTAACCTAATTTCCAAGCTTGTCAAGAGATCAGATCAAAAACAACCACCAGCAATAGGTAGGTAAAAAGATCATGGGCTAGCTACTATGTAGAATCACCAATAGTAAGTTGTAAGAGTGGACCTACATACGTAAGACCAAACAACTACTTGTATTAGGCAGGTGTTAGTCTTGGCTGACTTAAGTGAACACTTCAATACAGTCAGATAGAAGAGATATATTATTGACACTGCTAAGTAGCAATTACCATTAAGAGATTAATAAATAGATCATAAAATAAGGTACAATCATACAGAGGAATATCCACAATATATAATAAAAGGATTAGTTTGTAGGAGTTGCAGCCCCTCTTCATCAATGATGGGCTTCTCTGTGATGGCTGTGATTGTTGAATGTTGGCCTCCTGAAGGAGGATTTTGTGAAATATACTGAGATTGATGTTTTTTCTTCTTTCTTGCACATTTTCTAAAAATCCAAGAACCTTGAGTGGATGACAATTTCAAAGATTCTGTTTCAGTGACCTAAAGGCACAAAAACCCATTTGGTGATTTTGCTAGTATGTTTGTGAGTGGCATAACAAAAATTATTATATATTTGGCTGGTTGCTTTGTCTTGATGCAGCCGTGTCTTATTGACATTCAATTTGTATAAAGATAGTATTTATGGGGTAAAGTGGTGTCAGCCCTTTAGCCTTATAATATGTAGAGCACACTTTTGAATTTATCTCGACTTTACATATGCTTAACTTACCATTATAGCTGTAAACTGTAACCTTCATAAATACCCAGGAAAAACTTCTGTGATATTATCTGCACCATTTTGGAAATGTTATGTAACTGGCAATATGATGATAAATCACCTAGAATTTTATATATTCACTTAAGTAGATGTGTTCTTCATCCAGTGTGATGACTCGCAATCATCAACAGTTGGTCTTCTATTTAACTGTGTACTTTCAAGGTGCTTGTGAAAATAGGTTTTGTGTTGCTTTGTTGGTCTACATCAGAGGTCACCAAACTTTTTTCACAGCGGGCCAGATAACTGAGAGAATGACGAGCGCGGGTCGCATAACCATTTTGTTCAATACAATACAGTGAATACACAAAAAATAAAGACAACAAACATGTTTATTTACCAAAAAGTTATCAAAGAAGGTGATGTTAGCAATAAGATAGTTATATCACACACAGTGCGCACATATCTGAATCTCGCAAACTAAGCAGC